TAACAACATGTTTTAAGTGTAAGTAATTTAAAAGTGGTTAACTTCTTGATTTTTATTTTAAAAAAATTATGAATTCCCTAAATGTAGTGCCCAAATTTGATACTATCATTTACTGATAGCATTTTTATTATGTTTTCTGAATTAATGTTTATATTAAAATCATATTTAACAGGAATTTTCATATAACTTATGTCAGTGATGTAAGAAAAAAACGTTCCACATTCAGTGAACAATTTCCGACAAGTGCTAAATAATGGGTTAACACCTTTTGAGATAGTTGCAATCAATGCAAAGTGAGCGGCGGCCGTGCAACAATGTTGCCTGCTGCTGCCACACAGCTGATGGTCGGTCGTTGTCGACCGATCCCACTGACTTTATGATTTATGTCCCGGCACTCAGTTGGCGCCGCTTCCATACCCAAAACCGCCTGGCCTAAACCAAAGAAAAATGTTTGTTTTTCCATCTCCAAGATAAATTATTACCTGCGATCAAAGGGTTTAAACTTTCACAATGCAGATTAATTTGTTCGATGCGATTAGAGAATAAATAAACATGAAAATCCAACAAATGTTATTTAAGATAACAAAAATAAAACTAATAATAGTGAAAAATTTGTATTTCAATTCATATCTTTTTGGTAACAAAGACTGCCATTTATTGTTTGCATTTAAAACATTCCTCGATTGTATTCCAAAATCCATAACATGGTATCAACTATATTGATATAGAGTATTCAAATGAAAGAAAAAGTGTTAACAGACTAAGATATAAGGATGTAAAGAGAGAGAGAGAGAGAGAGAGACTGATACAGCCTCTTGGAACTGATCCGTTTCGTTTGCGAATGAGTAATTAATTATAATGCCTGAGCTTCGACTAGTTTTGCTTCCATAGCAATTTAGTTATAGTTTTTAATGTGGCTGGCCACATGGGAGGCAATGAATTGGTACTGCGCTTTGAAAGTCTGCACCCACAGAGATTGGGCATCGTGTGTTACGTTGTGCAATGGATTACCATCAGTCAGGGTATCTGAACCGTCGTCTGACTCATCCGATTCACTGCCGCTGCTTTCTCCCGCAGATCCCTGAGAGCTTGTTCCAGCCAAGCTGACGTTACTCACAGTCTCGTCGTCCTGTTCCTCTCCGATGGACTCCAAGTCGTATTCTTCTCCCTCATCATCGTATTCTTCCTCTGAGGCATTATATACGCTATAGTTCTCCTCATCCGATTCATATTCATATTCCTCGAGCGACGAGCCAGTGGAATTAGTATCGTATACTGATGTATCAATCCCGGACGAAGCACTCTCGTTGCTCTCCACAAAACCACTCGACGAATTGGGTTGATCACTCTCCTCGTCCTCATCATCCTCATCATCTTCGATGAATATGGTCTCCGTGGAGGCCTCCGATTCGGATCCACTTCCAGGGGCCACTTCATCATCGGCTTGTGGCAGAGGTGGAATGTCCATCTGATGGGTCACATGAACACTTAACTTGTTCTGCGCTGTTGGTTTCTCCAAAATTATGGACTCCTGACTCGGGCTATTTACAAGGGAAACTAATTCCTCTTTCAGCGACTCAGATATAAGCTTTTTGGCCTCATTTCTACTGTAGTACATTTCGATCATGATATCATGGAGACTATCCAGCAAGAGGGCAACTTCAGCATTGTCCATTTTATGTTCCTTGCTGTAGTTGTAAATGCGTTTTAAGATGCTCTCACGATTTTTCATTTTCTTGAGCATATAAAATTGGTTAATACCTGGCAAAAGTGATAGATTTGTATCTGCGGGGGAAATCTGCTTGGGGGGAAAGTAAAGATTTAAGTAACTAATTGTGATTCGTATTAACCGTATTAAACGCACCTTTTGTTTCAAATAGCGATTAGCTTGTGGTGGTTTGCAAAGAAACATACGGCGTTTGCCCTTTCCTTTCTTTGAACAACGCTTCTTTTTAGTCTGCAATCTCTCCCAGATTAAGTCCTCATCGCTGGTTGTATATATGGTGTCGTAGGATTTGTCACTTTGATAGCCACAACCCATGCTATCCGAACTAATGCTACTGGCATCGTCCACCGTGTTTGATATAACCATGTTCTGTATGGTCATCGAACTGGTCTGTGTGGGAGCAGCCAGACAGTAGGTCTTGTTGTTAATCGAGTTGACTGGTGGTGCAGGTGGCGTCACAGTGGATGGCGATGGCTCCTGAGTTAGGTCAAGTGGTGTTAGGGTTGCTGTCAGTTCGGGGGAAATCAATTCTTCCGCGTTTACGGCATTCTTTGTCTGAAGTGCAATGCCTACTCCATTATTAGGTTTATTTTCCTTGTCGTCTGTTGGTTCCATGCTTTCATCAATATAGTTGTCTATGTAATATTCATTAACTGTGATCACTGGTGTTAGTTGCATTTCGTGATTTTCTGTTTTGGATGTTTGTTTTTCAATCTGTGATACAGCATCTACAAAAAGTTTGCTTGTGGTAATAGACTTCTTGGCTTTTTCTTGCCTTTTCATTGCAGAGTCTTTGTGGTATAAGGTTTCTTCTTTGGGGTTGCAAGTATTCAATAAGTTTATAGTTTTATATTGATTTAACATTTCTTTCTCGATCTCTTTTAATTCTTTTATTTTACGATTCATATTTTTTTGTGAAGTACTTGGTGCGATATCCAAGTCCAGTGTATCTTGTATAATTTGAGCATTGAACATTTTCTGGTTATTATCTTTAACTGCTTCATGCAATTGATCACAGGAAATAACAACGTTTTCTAAGGCCTCTGGTATACTTTTGGAAACAACAAGTGATGTATCTGAAACATTCTCCAAGTTGTTAGACTTCTTAATACATTCGTTCACCTTTTTAGAATTTTTTAAGGCCTCAACTTGTTTTTTGGTAGAATCATCCAGATTTTCCTCCCTGTTTGGGTCATCCTTTCCCTTAACATTCGGTTGTGTATGCTTCGAAGGCATTTCTTCTTGTGGATTTGTCTCTTTTATAAAATATTCAAAATTGTACTTATCGAAATCCCAAAAATTGAAGTTCTTGGCCATTGGTTCCTTGGGAAACTCTAGAACAGACCAAGCAGTTGCGATTTTGTGGGACATTTGCTTGAATTTCTGACTCTGCGTCTGGGAGGCAACAAAAGTAATGGCTATGCCTTTCGATCCAAATCTCCCAGCACGTCCAATGCGATGCAAGTAGGTCACATGATCCTGTGGCGGATCGAGATTTATGACCAGATTGGCATGAGGCGAGTCCACACCGCGGGCCATTAAATCGGTGGCCACCAAAGTGCGCATGGTGAAGTTTCTATAGCCCTCGAAAACATTCAAACGCTCCGATTGTGCCATGGCTCCCGAGATCAAATGACACTCGACACCGCTGGCTGTCAGGTAGTTTTTGTACGAATCCGCTCGCATTTGGGAGCTGGCAAAGAGCACGGCCTGTTCGTAAGGCAACTGGCTAAAGATTTCGGCTAAAATCTTCAGTTTTAGACGCATCTCCTCTGCGCTGTTTCTTTGTGGAGGCAACTCGTACACAAACTGACGAATGCCCAGTAGCACGGTGGCCCTTTCGCTATTCGATATAAGCATGGGTTGATTCATTATCTTGGCCAGACGCACATCCAAATCCTGATCGTAAGTGGCACTGCAGGCGATTGTTTGACGACTTTTGGGCAGGACCCGTATGAGTTGATTGACCGCTCCTTGAAGGCCCTTAGTTTGATATAGCTGATCGGCCTCGTCGAGCACAAGAAGTCCGAGTTTTGAGACATCCAGCACTCGATTTTCATAGAGATGCAATAGCCGACCTGGTGTTCCAATAATAACCTGACTCTTCATTATGCGCCTGCGATCTTTGGCCACTTCTGTGCCCCCTATAAAGGAGGTTGGCTTAAAATCCTGATAATATTCGCACAGGAAGCGGAATGTGTCCTCCACCTGGATGGCCAATTCACGAGTGGGCACCACAATCAGGGCATGTGGTCGTGTCATAGTGCGATGGAATCCCTGCATGGCGGCAATCACATAAATAAGGGTCTTGCCCGTTCCACTTTTCGACTGAACCAGCAGATCTGTCAACATGCAATGTGCTATAATTGAAATTCCCTTTGAAAAGCGTGTGCTAAGCGATATATTTACCAATGTTACTCAGTGCCATGGGAATGGCAGCCGCCTGAATCTTCGTTGGCGTCACAAAATTGTGGCGCTTCAGGCCGCGCATCATGTGGCGGTGTAGATGCAGTTCCCCAAATGTTTTCACCTGCCCAGATGCCACATCACTGCTGCGCTGCTCCCCGCTGGACAAATTGTGCGCTATTTCGCGCTGCATCCTGCAAGATTTTCCTGTTGTTTGCACGCAATTTCAAAATTCATAGGCTTCGCAAGGTTTTTGTTGCTAGTGTGACCGCAGCCGAACCGGCCGAATCTGCCTTACAAATTGCTATGAAAAATACCAAATAAAAATACCATGCATACCACTGGGGCATACCCTATACCCATTTCACACTGAGACTTAAAATTTACTAACAAACTGTTTCCACAGCCGCTTGAAAGTGGTTACTGAAAAGTTTTTCGACGCGGCCTACAAAAAATAAGCCAACCGAAAAATAAGAAGAAGGGAACTAGAACTTGAACTTTCCCGCCAAATTAATAATATTGCATTTCGTTCTCAAAATAATCACAAAAATGGCAATTGCAACAGCGAGTTCCCGGTTATTCCTTAACGGTGGAATTAATGTTCCTAACCGCACGTTTATAACCGATATTTAGCCGATGTTTTTTCGGTGCAACTCTTAGGTCTTGTCGGAAAAAATACTTCTAAAAAAATTTTGGTAGAGTGAAAGATTGTACATACGCCACTGTGATTTTTGATGGACGGTGGATGGTGGAAGGTGGATGGTGGCTTTGTGGGAATGGCCATCCATATCTCCTCATCCTGATCTGCTGACTTGACAGCATTAAATCTACCCAAGTAGCAGTTTTATAAACAATCTGACTTTTGTTTCCTTCTCAAACCTACAATGGCAGAGCACTTTTATCTCATTCAATAATAGCGTACAAAATTTAAGTTTTGTTTAAAAACATTGGTTTTTTCCAACTCCAAATTCTAAAACCATGATTAAGGCCAAATTCTGGGACATCGGATATTTTGTGCTGCTGACATGGATGCATGTGTGCTCAGTTCTACAGCCTGTGGTCGAGGCACATGCCAATTTCAAATCGGTTTACCCTTCAGTGGATCGTAGTCTAATGCTCCAATTAAGCTACACCTATAGTCCCTGGATTCTGGTCAAGGCGACGATGTATTCGCTGCTGGTAATGATCGGTCTTTGGTATAGTAGGCAACTGCAAACTAATGACGGGCAGGAATCGGAGGAAAAAAGGGACATTCCAAAGGCTCCTGAACCCAAAACAGCCAATGAGGTGAAAAATGTGTGGCTCAGTCGAAATACTCAGGGTTCCGGAACTGAATTGGGACCATTTCCGATGAAGAACTTCCTTCTCTTTGCCATGCCCTGGTTATTGACTTTCGTGGCCAGCGGATTGATTAACTATCTTCGCTTTTATATGGTGATTCAGCATTTTTGCATTTCCAACTGGAGGGCCATTCAGCTATATGGAGAACTGCAGGTGCTCTTTTTGCATCGCTTTTTGGCAGTGGCCTGGTTACAAATAACAAGAGGAGGAGGAGGAGCATCTAGCCTGCCGGAAAATTTTATTAATTTTGAAACCCATCTGTTGGACTGAGCATGGTACTTTGGCTTACGTTTTGTATTGTTGGAAAAAATAAATTATATAAGTTATGGTTCTTTATTCTAGGGCTTAAAATAATTAAAAAACCCTTTTTTAAATATTGTAAAAAAAACACGTGCAGCTTAGTTTTCATCGTACCCTAAGAAAATGCCACAAAGAATAAGTTTTAAGCAATTAATAAACAGTTGTTCTCCGTTCTATTTTTATACTTGTAGTTTTTAATTTGACAACTATATTTTTATCGTTCATTCTTCAGTGGTTTCGTCTACGGCAATAAACGACATTTTCAATCAACTGAAGAGTAAACTTTTATATGTACTTTTCTGCACCGCTTGGAAGTTTATTGTTGGAAAAAACTTTTCCATCACGTGGGAAATGTGCAGCATTTAGTATTTCTTGCTCACTTTTACTCAGCTTGAATAACTGTGAAGCAAATAAATACATAAATAAGCAAGTGCAACCAACCAGTTGCACATTTAATTAAAAAGTTTTACAATTAAAAAGGCCATTTAAATAACCATAAAGAGGTAAAAATCAACAAAAAAACAAATTTTTCCCTTAGCCAAATGATTTAAACTAGACTAGACTTATTCTTAAAGAACTACAATTACTTGGAAATTCACATTAATGCCTATAACATTAGGATCAAGAATAAATACGATACACTATTTTACTCTACGAGTAACAGGTATAAAACCACTGCTTTATACCCATTAAATAATTAACAATTTGTTAAGAAAATCCCGACATCACTGACAGGACAGTCAACCGATCAAAGTTCACTTTAAAACGAGAATTCTCCGAGTATATTTCTAAATTTTACCCAAATAAACATTTTTAATAAATCGCTTTTGTGCCGAACGTACATCGCGTTTTAGACACTCAAAATACCGAACTGTGTCATAGCAGAATCAGCAAGAGCTGTGTAGTTCCAAGGATTATTTCTTAAGTTCTGCATTGGCAAAGCACAGGACTCTAAGCGGTTTTAGACTCCCCCTTTCGGTCAACTGTTTCGACTTGCTGGTAAGTTCTCGAATTTAAAACTAAGCGCTGGGGGAAGCAACCAGATTTTTTTATTTATTAAGCCAATTTTTGAATGGTTTTAGTGGAGAGAGTTGAGGCTTGCCGAGTCAAGGGTTTATAGGGAAATAAGAGGTTGTATTAAAACAAGTAAGGAGCTTAAGTCGGCAAATCCGGCAAACCCAAAATTGTATACCCTTGCATCTTTTCAATATTCAATAAATAATAAATATTTATTAATATATATTTAAAAGATTAAAGTTGTTAAATAATTAAAATAATTCTTAAATAGTATATATATATATTCGTATAAAACAAAAAACAACGAAGTTACATTTTTTCATTTATTTTTCGATTGTTTCCTAAATTAGCTTTATGGATGGAACGGACAAGGTAAGATCGACATGAACATACATTTTAAATAGGATTTGAAATGTCTCCTCTACTTTGCTAACTTTTGACTAAAATTATAATAACAAAAAATTATAAAAAGCTAAATAGCAGACAAGTTTTGTTTCAGTAAAAATGGTATTAAAAAGTAAATATTTTTTTTGCACAAAAATTGTTGCTCAAAATTAATATGATTTATATAGAAATATACGTGAGCAAAGTGTTATATTTGCAAGTTTCCAGCATTCACCTGGTTGCTTCCTCGATCTCAAACACCACACAGTTTTGAAAACTCGTTTTTAGACCGATCTAGTAATCTGGCTCCTTTCAGTTAATAACAAATTGTTCGGGTTGATTTAGTCTTTCGGTTTTGTACAAAGAAAGCAGACTCCGGATTTTTTTGTTTTATTTTTATTGGAATACACATTTTACGTTATCACATGAAACTTTTTTGAACCTTTTTGGACACTTGAGATAAACCTCCGAATGTGGCAACTCAAAATTGATTGAACCAGTTTTAAGAACCAACTAAACACACACACACACAAACGAGCTACACTACAAGAAACCCGTTGTCAAAATTGTGTAGATTAATATCACGTAAATATAACGGCGTTATATAGTACTATTTCGAGCAATATGCGTGGACAACTGCTGCTGAAGGGACCGGCATTGGCGAGGAGCTTGAGCCGAGTGCCAGTGAGTGTCCTGCCGCGGATTGGGTCCGTTCGCCATGTGACCGCCGGCTGTGGAGCGGGCGATGCCGTCAAGGGCGGCAAGGGCATTGTCCTAGGCCTCTACGAGAAGGAATCGGGCAAGGGCCCCCGCCTCACGCCCGCCGGCGAGAAGTTCGACGATCGTGTCCAGGGCAAGCTGTCCGAGTTGGTGTGCGAAACGAAGCTGACGGGTCGTCTGGGTCGCGGCAAGGTCTTCAACAATGTGGACACCGATTTCCGTTCGATTTGCGTGGTGGGCGTTGGCCTCGAGGGCATCGCCTTCAACGAACTGGAGATGCTGGACGAGGGCATGGAGAATGTGCGAATAGCCGCCGGCATTGGGGCCCGATCGCTGCAGAGCATCGGCTGCTCCGAGGTGCATGTGGACAATATGGATTATGCCGAGCAGGCTGCCGAGGGTGCCGCCCTGGCCATTTGGCGGTTTGAGGAGAACCTGGCCAAGAAGTATCGCAGCACCATACCAAAGTTGGAGCTCCATGGCTCACCGGATGTGGAGTCCTGGACAAGGGGTCTCTTCAAGGCGGAGGCCCAGAATTTGGCCAGGAGACTGTGTGATGCACCGGCCAATTGTATGACGCCCACTATGGTGGCCCAGGCTGCCGTGGATGCCCTGTGCCCCTGCGGCATCACCGTGGAGGTACGCACCATGGAGTGGATCGAGCAGCAACATCTCAACTCCTTCCTGATGATTGCCAAGGGCAGCTGCGAGCCACCCGTTCTCCTGGAGGTGGCCTATTGCGGCACCGCCCCCGAGGACAAGCCCATATTGCTGGTGGGCCAGGGCATTACCTTCAATTCCGGTGGTATCAACCTGCGTCCATGCAAGGGAATGGACGAATTCCGGGGTGATCTCACCGGTGCCGCCTCCATTTTGGCCGCCATGCGAGCAGCTGCCGCATTGTCGCTGCCCATCAACATCACCGCTGTGATACCGCTTTGTGAGAATCTTCCCTCTGGCATGTCCTGCAAGCCGGGCGATGTGGTTACCCTGCTCAATTCCAAGTCCCTGGCGGTTAGGAACATCAGCCGAACGGGTGTGGTGGTCATCTCGGATCCCATGCTTTATGGCCAGATTACGTATAAGCCAAGACTCGTCGTCGATGTGGGTTCCATGTGCAAGGGCGTGAAGAAGGCGGTGGGCGGCGGAGCCACTGGTATTTGGTCGAATTCGCATTACATATGGAAACAATTCCAGCGGGCTGGATCCCTGACCGGCGATCGTCTGTGGCGCTTCCCCCTGTGGCGCTACTACAAGGATCGTGTGGCGGAGCACCTTAGCTTCGATCTCCTGAACGATGGCGAGGGCTATGCCTCATCTTGTCTGGCGGCTGCTGTTCTCCACGAACTCGTGCCCTGTAGCGACTGGGCTCACCTGGACACCTATGGCACTGGACTGCTGAGTACCTATGGACTAATACCCTATCTAACGGCTGGAAGGATGACCGGCAGACCGACAAGGACACTGGTGCAGTTCCTCTACCAAATCGCCTGCCCCGAACAGCCCAAATAGTTCTGTTCCATCTATTTACGATGACGAATGGGTTGACGACTATGAATACGTTTTGGTTGGTTCTTCGACAGGCGACTCCCTAAAACCCCGGGGCATTGGATGTTTGGCTTTAAGTGTGTATTGATGAGACATGGCGATGTGTTCATCGCCCAACGTTTTAACTCGCTTGACTGAAGTCCCAGTACCAGGGACCAGAACTCGTTCAATGTTTGTATTTTGATGTTTATGACTCGGCCGCATCCCGGGGCTGAGTTGGCTGGCAGAGTGTGTCTTGAGTCCAGAAATTTCCAAATTAACACAGATAAATCATTGTATTACCCAATCATCACCTATTTCGGCTCACAACTAGATGTAATAAATTTTAGGGTCCTTTAAAAGAATTCATTTTAATTTTTTTTGTTTTTTGTGTGGTAAGTTACTGAAAAACTCTATTTTTCAAACAACGATATTAGAAATAATTATTACAAAAAAGTCGCAAAAATCCCAAAAAACACATTAAAAACTTGGTTTTTGTGTCAAAACCCCGGGAAATAATGGTCAAAATGTGGAATGTCATACGCAGCTGAATTCGTAATAAAATTTCCAATCGAATGGCATTCACAGCTCAAATTTTATCAGATTTTCAAATTTCTGCAAAAAATTATGATGTACCCCCTTACAAAAAAGTCTGAAATTTGGACAAAAATAAATTTTTCTAAAAACGTTTCACAAAATTCGATTTTTTTGTCAAAACTAAATTAATTGTTTTAAATCGATCAGGGACGGATGATATTATTCTATTGAATAATAATAATCGGAGTCCTATTCCATACATCAGAAAATTTGTTATTTTAGCATATTTTACTAAAAGTCGATTAGTTTATAACTATATAAAGATAAATTTTTGACTTTTCAAGCTTACTATATAATTGTGACTGCAGAATTTAGCAGCTTCCATTTATTTTGTTGCCTATTTTTAAAGCTTTAATCCTTGGCTTTAACTTCGACCAATTTTATTTAATTTTCGGTTGAAAAATATACCCACAAATTGCAGTCCAAGGTCCTCAGACTGGGCACCGCCAAAGTCAGACAAAAACGCAAAGAACCGAAGGACAAACACTCGGCCGAGTCCTACCCAATGTGCAAACTAATTCGACTTTTGGCATATCAATGAGGCGAATGAATGGAGCGGAGGATGGAGGATGGAGTTGTCTGAAGAACGAGTGACAGGATATCCAAGAGTTTATGGCAAAGTTTTTAGCACGTTATTGATGTCCGGCTCAGCTTGGCTTAATTTCAAACTTTAAACTTCGGGACAATTGAAGAGCTCCCTCCATTGCACTCTGTTTGTCGACTAATTCAATTGGTCAACGTTAAACCGCTTGGGATAAATGCTCGAGCAAAATGAGTTGACAAAAAAAAGCCAAAAAGCTAGACTCGAATGCATTTAAAAACCATTTCTCACAAAGTTGCCTGCTGTAGACACCACATCATTTGTCATTATTCGTAGTTTCAATTGAAGTTTTCAATTCGAGTTTTTTTTTTTTGATAAAGTGCTAATTGATTTGGCTGGTTATTATGTGAGTGTGCGAGGCAGCTAATCTGTCAATGTCAATATTATGTATGACCCATGTTTGGCCTTAAAAATATTTTGAAAACATTTTTCACGGACCAGCGAAAATTTGTGGCCATGCACTGGAAAAATATTAATGTATAATGGGTGAAAAATTGCAACTATGCTGAAAAAAATATTTAAGTCAGATGGAATAGCTATACAAATATTAATATAATTTAATAACGGTTCCTTAAATATACCTTAATTTTATAACTGAAGCTATTTCCATTAAATCTGTGTCATAAGGAAATTTTTAGTAGTGGCTGAAAATAATTTAATATTTTAAAATAAGGCTAAGAACTTTTAAACGGTCCTTGCACAAAATCAGCGCTATGAATAATTATTGCAGGAGCTTGTTCGCCGGCAGTGTAGCTCATTCCCCGCCCTGTCAACTTTGGTAATGATAAAGTGTTTCATTATGAACCTGACCCCTCTTCTTCCCCCCAATCTTGTATGGAAATCGTGGAAAACTGCTGACAGCAAAGTGGCCCAAAAAAAGCGGGGGGCCCAAATATGAGGAAAAGTGGGAGGCGGGGCCAACAACCTGTTCTCTGTGAGAGGTGTAAAAACTTTTATGGGTTAATTCTGCACTGCTCTCCTTCATTTTTTGGCAGTGTTGTCAGCAAGTTGGTTGCCTGCCAACTGAGCTTCCACTTTTCCTGGCTTGAAACTATTAAAGTGTCACGTGGTTTAAAGTAGTTGTCGCACATTTGGTCGGATTAATTGTCGGAGCTCATGTAATTAAGTTAAAAGGTCGGATGTGATCTGTTCAAAGCGTCTCAAAATTTCCAACTTTTGTTTTCCAAAAGTTGCATTCTCTCTAGATTTAATATGCCGTATAAACAATTACAAACTTATTATTCTGCCAGTCTTTTTTATGTTATGTCTTATTTTATACAGATATTACGAAACAAAATCCTTGTGTTCACAAAAGTGTATCGACTTTGTGTTATAACCAAAACTAACTCTCTTGATGTTTGGTTTATAAATCTATTGCAATGCAATTTTTGGAACAAGTTTTTTATTTGATAAACATCTTTAAAGTAATATGGCTTATAATGTCCACGAATGTTTAAACTGCCTTTATAGCCTTGCCACCGCATTATAATAAATCAGTACCCCGTTTAACCAAAGTCAATGATTAATTCTGAAACATTTTACAATTTTTTCTGTCTTTATGGACCTCTTAAATACATTTTAAATTTTCTCTACTTTCCCTTATAAGCTTTAATTTCGGCTTAAAGAGTAAGAAATGAGGACACTTTTTTCTTATAACCCAGAAGAATATGTTCTTTATATTATAACTTTGTTATAAATGTTGTAGAGCCTTTTTCTACCTTTCTTGGCTAAAAGTAGTTGTTGTCTTTTCATCTAAATGATTTTAATTCTGATATATTGCAGGGCAAAGGTCAATATTACGGTAAGTTGCCTTTTGCCGTCACTGTGATAAGATCTGCTGACTATCTCCATCTCTTAGCCATCTTAATTTCGCCCATCCGACTGCTATTGTGCATTGTTATTTATGACGGCCATTGGCAGGAAACGGATATGCGTGCACAGACGTCAACGTGTCACAGTCGTCGGAGGATATCCATGTGACCCCGATGCATTGGCATGCAATGCCATTTGGCTGGACGAGTTGGCCGGCAGACAAATCGTTTCGACCATGTCTGCAGTCCACCCACTGAAAGCCCCAACCCGCGCCCAACCAATCGGAGAACCACCCACAATTTGATGGATGCAGTTGGCCTGTTGTGATAGGTGACTGTCAGTAAGGTCAGCTGGCGAACTTCCATGCGATGCTGTCGATAAGGTTCCAAGGCTGAAGGCCATTAAAATTGAGGAGATTGGTGAGATACGTTTTACGTAAATGGAAAGTCAAATAGCGTTGTTAAAGCAAACCATGAAAATTAAATGATATCAAGATCGCTACATCTATTCTATATCTATTCTATTATATCTATTCTCTACGATTATTTGTTTAACGATCCTGATTTATACAAATTATTTAGATGTTGCAAATTTTTTGTTTCACTAATTTTAACTAAATTTCAGCAGCAATAAATCCTGAGAACGCAATTCAAGTGCAATTGAGAGCAACTTAAAATCCCCAAAACAATTTTGGCCAGTTTTAAGCGCAATTTCGTGGCTGGTGCTGTGGCACATTCAGTGCCAAATCTAAAACAGGTCCATTTAAAGTGCATATTAAGCACACCGGTTGTACTGCGTGTTTTCTGTGGTTGCTCCTTTAGTTGTTTGCATTTCGACTTTTCACTATGCGTAATGCCAATGCCCATAAATGTTGTGGTCAGTGTAGCACTCTCCCCTCTGACATCCCAATTTACCTACAAGACCGCAGAATGGCAGAGCGATGGAATGAAGTCGCTTTTAATTAATGCCATACCATATTCTGGGTGCATAATTTTGTATTTACCCGCTAAAAAAGGGAGCCATCCCTATGCTCGCATAGGGCGGTGCTAAATTAAATTTTCCCCCGCTTTCTATTCAATTTCGGTACGCCGTTTTAGCGGCCATTTATGAGCAGGCTATTACATATAATGCAATTCGCTTAAATCAGTCCTTGAAAATGGTGGTTTTACTAACTACAAATGTTTGGCAAGTGCCCTTTTATTTAAATTGCTCTTGATCCAGTTGTTTGTATTTAATTACTTTCTATATCAAATAACAATCAATTTAATTAAAATAAATGCAGAAACGTGATAAGTGGTTTGACCGAGAAATAATTATCAGGTTGAATACTTAATAAAAACCAAATTTGTTTTCTGTTTATAGCAACAGTAAAATGTTTTCCCATCGTAGAATAACAAGACTTCGCATAATATTATCAGCAAATCTCGTGTTACCATATAAAGCATACTTTTCTTTTCTACAAAAAATTGACAACAAACGCACACGCTTAGCAGTCACTGAAAATCCACTTAAAATGACTACCAACTGTCAAAGTGTCACCTGTTCGAGCCTGGTGGGTAAAAAGGCACTACCAGATATCCGAGAAAACCGTGAAAATGGAGCAACAATCGTGAAAATGTCTGCGCTAGAACGCAATTGTCACTTCCCTTTTTTTAGTTTTTCTTTTTCGGCCACTCCTTGATTTTTTTTGTTGCTGCTACTGCTTTTGTGCTGAATTTTCGCGCACAATTGAGAATTTATAAAAAGCGGATGTTGTGTTTTCCGGCGGAAAAAACTTGGCTGCATCCATGGTAAAGAAAACTGAAAAAAAAAGAAAAGCCAAAAAAAAAAGAAAAAATGATTCGCGTTCCCCGGAAACGAGGCAAACTTGATTCAATTCACAGACGTAAACGAAAAACAGAATGACGGCGACGGTGGCCAAAAGTCAGGGTAACAACAATACTTGGTAATCAAAGCGCAATGAAAAGCCGGCTCCAATGCATTTGGGCCAAGGGTAAAACGAATCAAGGGAAGAATTAAAAAGTACATTTAAAAACAAAGAAAAATACACATTTCTCCAGTTTTCGCTTTATAAAATAAGACTTTATTTTTGTGTACTTTCTAAAGAGAATAAAATTAATGTTAGGATGAAGACAATGACTTTTGATTAAAATGGTTTCTTCCAACTTAACATTTATTGAAAACATTAACTAAATTAAACATTTTAAAGTATTTAACTTTTAATTTAAAACTCACGGGCACATCAATTTAATAGTTAAAAAAGGAGTTGAGCATTGATTGGCGAAAAATCATCATGATATCTCTTACCAATCAGATGTTATTAAGATACATGCAAAAGCACTTTTTCAAATATGTAGAAAAATTGTTAAGCAAATCGAATATCACAAATCCAAATAATCAATGGGAAACATAATTATGAATGACATATGATTACTGAGCATTGTAAATTATATAATGCTTACAAGCTTTTGACACACACAAATTCATTTAAATATTCTGTCGCTATTTATTGGTTTTCCCATATAAATAAAAATACGTTCAAATTTCACGCATAAATATTTCGCCACAATATCTCGACAATATCGCAATACAAAACACTTTCTGCCTATTGGAAATGTATGGAAACCTAGCTTTTGGTTTGGTGAAATTATATTTTCAATTATGCTCAATGGATTATGTAATTCTATGCCAAACACTGATTGCATATAGTATTTAATTTAAATGGTGCGCAGCAATTTCCTTTTGTTTTCTATTTTTATTTGATTTATTTGACGTGGCACCCGCAAAATCTCATTTGGTTTCATGGACGCCAGTTGTTGTGCCCGGCTCATTTGGAAAATACGTTGTTTTATTATTATTTTTTGCATGCAAATTGATATTTTGACATGGCAAATAAAAGAAAAACACAAATTTGTCAGCCTGTGACATAATTGGATTTGGTAATGCTTATAAATGAGGCTCTTTGGAGCAATGCCATTTCCGATGTGACTAAACAAAAATAAATATTCACGCTTGAAAATGTTTGGGTGTAAGAAACAACACAAGGCTTAACACATTGATAAGCCGGTTTCTTATCCGCCGGAAAACCCAAATCAAAAGCACCGACAACTTGATCCCATTTACCAGAGGAAAAATATCCCAAAAAGAAAATGGAGGAAAAAAAGGAAACCCAGCTAAGCGAACACATGGGCTATCAAAATATCCTCTGCCCAAAGTCCTTTGCCAATCCAATTGAATTAAGTTGCCAAGTATTGCGAGCCGGTCCGAAGGCTGTCAGCCAATTGAGCCAGGTAAGAGCCATGTTTTATCCTTTTTTCTGCAAACTTATTTTCGCCTCAGTATTACCGTTAAATATTCAATATTTCCCTGCCTTAACTTTATCAATAAATCAGTTTAATTAGGCGAAGCCATACAGTTCCTGCCTAATGAATTTTCAATCCAAATGAGGCTAACAATCTTTTCACAGCTTTCATTCCAACTTTTCCTAGCCTTTTTCCCTCTCACCGATTTTACTCTTTTGGCAAACTGTTATACGGATTGAACACATTTGGGCCATTATAGGCAGCCTCCTTTTTTGGTGTTATTTGCGTTAAGTTTTATGGCCATTTTTGGGCTTTTACGAACCTGCCAAGTGACTTGCCAAAAGAATATTTTGGTTTTTATTTTCGTTGTGCAAAGGAATGCGAAAGAAAAATTAAAATTGATTTTACACGGTTGAGTGGACAACATTTTCGCTTTGAGCTTGACTTTAATGCTTATTTGTTAAAGCATTAAAGCTTTATAATAAAAAGTCAATTTTAAAAGATTCGTTGTTTCATCTCTATTTTGCAGTCCTAAAATTCTTTTGTTTAGCCAAAACATTTAGCCTTTATCTCTGCATATAAACAACAATCATTGCCGAAATTTGCTCACCAACTTTTCATTTGAATAAGTTTTGGCGAAGTTCGACATCAACTTTAAGACTGACAAAGTCCCGCAAGATAAGCCAAAAATCTGCAGTGCATACATTTGCCAAAAAAAAAACAAGAAGAAAAGACAGAAATAATAAAGGAAGAATGAAAGGAAATTTTGGCAGAGACACTTGCTCACACAAGGAGTCATGGAACAGAAATTTCTATTTAATAACGCCAAAAGAGGAATTACACTGCAGCATTTCGGTGTCGGAAAGGATGTGAGTATCCCCGTCTGGGTTTCTCCTTTCCCTTCCTTTCCTTTTCGTGAGTGAGTGTGTGCTTCTGTGGGCATTGTATCACGGCTGCATTAATTTATGTACGAAATGGCATGGCAATGGCATTACACTGCGATGCACAGCACGTACCGAATAGAACGATCTCTGTGGAGCTGCGGTGCCTCCGCTGGATCTGCGGCCAAAAGTCAGGCAGACAGGCAGAAAGTTCAGACGAGCACACTGCAAGATGCAAAACCAGTCGTAACCGGAAGCAACGGATGGGGCAAGGACAATGTGGCTTATAAAAGGACACTGAAAAACAAGGGATTGCCATTCTTAAAACATTCTTTTCTATTTTTTTTAAGATTTTGTTTTATACATAGGCGTTCTTTCATTACTTTATTGCTATATAAAGCCAAGATTAATTTATTTCAATTTTGTTGTTAAAAAGAAAGATCTGACTTTGATGTACATTTTAATTTTTTTTTGTGGGAGTCACTCCACGCTAAACAGTCACAATTAATGAAAATAAAAACAATTTTTTACTGCTTCGTAAATAAAATTTTTACATTAAGATTATCCTAGTTTAATCCTGAATTTTTAATATGTTTAGTTTTACAGTATAATAAGCTTTAAAGACTTAAAACACAAAATGTAATTGTGAGCCTGTCGTTTTTATAAAATGTAAATGAACACATTAAATTATGCTCAAAGTAAAATGTCCTATAATTTAATAAAAACAGAAGATGTCTAAACAATATAAAATATTTTAATTTTATAAAACTGTATGTATTTATACTTTACTATATTAACTTTTTTAACTTTGACTGCAAAAATAAAATAAAAATTTATTTTTTTAACCCAGATAGTTAATTTATTTATCGCATATTTCATCTTTTCGCAGTGTTTAAATGCGCAGCATTTGTGGCAAATGCTGATTGCAGGCTCATTATCTTGGTATCCACTTGCACATACCCCCAGGAGTTGTATTTGTATCGGCCTCTTCGGCAGAAATTAAATTTTCGCTAGCTTAAAGCTCGGGCAAAACATTTGGCCTAATGTTTACAAACTTTTTCGGTTTCTCTGTTGAGCTAATATGGGTTAAAGTGTCCTGTCTGTGTCCTAAACAAATGTCCAAAGAACCCCCAGTCAAACAATGGGAAAAAGGAAAGACCAAGCTCTCATTGTTTGCTTGTTGCTTATTTCCTTTTATTTCCTATTTTCAGTTCGCGTTTCCAACTCGGTAATTTACATCTAAATGGAATGATGGGCGTTGGAGCGGTTGCTCTTTAAACACACATGACTGTGTTGCGGTGAGGAGGATGATAGTTGAATTCCGATGAATTCTCTAATGTTCAGTTTCCTTTGGCAGCTATCTGCGGTCACAATTTATTCCAAAGCAAAAGGGTCAAAAACAAAAAGGGTCTGGAAAATATTTGAAATAGTAAAGAATGCGAAGATTTTTGGTCATTAAATGTCTTAGATGAACATTACAGGGCAGCTGTCTTATTTCTTTATATAAGTCATCTTATATAATACCAAATGTTTAATAGAAATTTTTAAATTTAGGGATATGGACTCAAGCGACCAATGGTGGTTCAATAACAACTATTTGGTAACTTGTGATAACCAAATGGATAAATAAATATTATTCCATAACATTCGAAGAAATTTAAAATTTTCTTATAATTTCTATAGTCTTTTGATGCTTAAAAGAGCTCAGCATTTTAATCGTCTTTCAAACCAAACAAAATCCTCTTAAAGCTTCGCATTCTATTAAGTTCCTCAATATTCTAAAATACTTCACTAGTGTCGGCACATTCCGATACTGACAAAGTTCGGCAATTGTATATATAATTCCACAAACAGATTTGCGGCTTCTTGGCTCAAATTTATAATCAGATGTCATTCCACGCATTGACTGCATTATTGTTAATTATAAGGCAGTACAATGGAATCCGAGGCGGAAACACATAATTCGCAGGGTTACGCCCTCTCACGACTCTGATGATGACGACTTTGGTTGACATTTCCCAGTGTCCTTAGTTACGATTGCCAGTATGCTGGTATGGGTGCAAATGGAATTTGCATTTGAATCACTTTACTCACCTCAGTGCAAGTTATGCAACTCAATTTGAATGGTGCACGTCGAGTGGCAAGACCTTGGCCAAAAAGGGTGGCAAATCCTCCAGTATGCCATATCCTAGATTACGGGTTAACTGTTTATAATGCCCTGGCACCGAGAGTCTATGCTAATTAAGTGGGCAAAAAGCGGGGGGAAAATGCATAATTGAAAAACTAAATATGCTAATGGAAAATGCATTTTGTTTACTCGGACTGCGACTCGTTCTGTTGACAGAACATAATCGAAATTCGAAATCCAGTTGAATCCATAAATTATTTTCATAAACTTCTGTCAAATGAAAAACGAATGCTTAATGAAATTTATCTCAGGTTACACCTTTAAACGAGAATGAATGGTAATATCGGACCAGCAGTTTATTGTTCTCATAATTTAAAGCGATTTAATCGCCTGCCTCCGCTGTCTCGTTCACAATGGAAACCAATTAAGTCCTGTCACATCATTTTAATGAAATTAAAATAAAATCAGTGCGAATAAATAGGCCCATGATGGATGGTTGAAAACCGCAGGCATTGCTTTGTCTCAAGGCTGAATTCTGTTCGCGACGTTTTTAAAATTCAGGGCATGTCCGCAGGCGTCTGACAGACCCACTCAACCACCCCAAAAAAAAAAAAGCCCACCCAGTCAAACACCCACCAATTCACCCACTCACCCACTGACTGACTATATGAACAAGGTGCTGCCTGTTTGCTTGCGGCTTCAGCTGCTGCATGAATCCTTAAGTGACTATGAACCAAACAAAAAATGGAGAAAAGTGAAAAAAAAAAATAAAATGAACAACAAGATAGAACGGGTAACAAAAACGGATGCCGGGCAAAAGTAGACAAAACGCTTAGTCTACTCAATCCTCCGGAAAATTCAAGAAGGGATAAGCGCCGCCCATTTCTTGTTTGCCTTTGCCACTGTGTGAAGGTCGTGGGCGTGGTGACGTCGTGCAGCAAAAAATATTGCCAACTAAGTGTTGGGCATAATAATGAGAAAAGCAAATGGAAAACAGACGCATTAACAGCTCAAGTTGAAAAAATAATCCTTAATCTGTTACAGAAAAATGGTACTTATCAACAACTTACAATTTTAAGATAACTGCAGTTTTAATTAAGCAATTTTAATATATATAAAATATATTCAAAAAGTGAACACAAATCCTGATGCGATTTAGAGTATGCATACATTCTGTTAAAAGTAAGTAATTGGATTAAAAAAATGTATATTTTAAGCGTTTAATTACCATTAATCAATTTAATAAATAAACATTACATTTTTATTATCTGTATATATTTTAAAAAGGTGGTAAAGCTTTATATCCTGTTTTCTTGTTAAACTATTTGTTTCTATAGGTCTTATATCCAACAATTTGTACTAAACATTATCTGTTAAAACATATTGGAAATAAATATACATTGAACATTTATTTTTTAAAATTTTATATTTTTTAGACCTAGCCGTACTCCTATTCGATTATCCTCCACTGTTGTTAGGAAAGCACATGTATGAACGCCCGCTGTGATTCTGTTTGTATTTCCACAGTTTATCCTCGTCCAACTTTTACTTTTCGCCAGCCGTCTGTTTGTTTTAAATAAATTATGCCTGACTACGGGCTTTATTTAACTTTATCATGTTAACGAGTTGGCTTACTTACGCTTAAGCACTATTCTCCTGCATGTGACACACATTTGAATTGCACATTCAAGTGCGTTAACCGAAATGCAAATTCATTTCCTGTACTTGGTCCCCAGGCAATTAGTCGACCACTTTGCTGCAATTGGCCAAATTACAAGCGGCTCGATTTAATTTTTGCCAGCCTAATATTCTTTTATTTGTGTGTGCGAAACTCTCGTCGGCAGGAAGTCATTGTCATTTTTTGTGGCCTGCTGGCGTTTGCATGGCAGTCAACTGAATTAGCATAAATTATTGGCCTTGCCGTTGGGAAACTGAAATCGCTTTTAAGGCTTAAATATTTTGCCTAAATGAAAATTTAATATTGCTAACAAAAGCCAGTTAAAAGGAGCTTATACTAATGTTGATTTTAGTGAAATTATATTAATGATTTTGGCTACAATTTGAGATATTAAATTTACTTTCGCTAACTAGTATAAAATATAGCTCCCAAAATTCTGCAGATAATGATTAAGGTTGATAATTTGGATATGTATTTGGCTTGTACTTGGCTAATTTCTTTTTTTACTAACGGGATTTTTATACTTAATTAATTCTTAAAAACTTATTTGTGCTGAAATAATTTATTTTTACAGATTTTTCATTAAAATCTCAGTACAATAAGTGTAAAATAATTTGATCGTAACACTGTCCACACAATAAATCTGCTAGTTGACTTAAGCATGACGATTATCTGTGATCTGCGCTAATTTCCCGGCAATAATCGTAGCAATTAAATTTACGACCGACTTGCAGGAACTCAACAAAACGCTCAAGTTGGCTTGAAATTTTTATTACACCATTTTTATCACCAAGGCCCAGCCCATAACGAAACCATAAAAAAGGGCGTGGCACACACTTTTTCATAAGCATAAATCAAATAGTATACACACTATAGGGGTAGCCATCTGCACAGCTGCTATTAAATATTACGCATACGCCATGTTAACACTTTATAAACGCATTAGCGTCCAGTCAACATCTTGAAAACGGAAAATATTGTATATTTTTGCGTGTGTCTTGGTTCTCATATAAAAATTCAGTTTTCAAGCTTAACGACAATCGGTTTTGAAAACAAGAATCTATAAAAAAGGAAAAGGAAACGAATTCAGGCTAGCAAAATATTTATGAGCCAAGAAGGAAAGGACTTCCCTGACCATTGCAAGCCATAAATCATGCGATTATTGGGCGAAAACACGTGGCCAGATAGAGCTAATATACGCTGTGCCTCAAAACTATAAGGCAAACTTTATGTTGAGAAACAAATATTGATTTTAAAATAATTACGTTTGACAACAAATTCTTAAAGTCTTTTAGCTATTTTTATTGTGGGAAAATGGAGTACTTATCCGTTGTAAAAAGAATTTGGACATCGATAATTTTAATGAGAAGTCATTTTTCTAGTCCCAACTTTTTTCGTTTTTTAATACTTGGTTTTGAAACGCACTGTATCCACGTGGCAACTGGGCCTTATAAATGACTGGAATACGCCCATAAGGCGCAGGACATTAAACTCAATGAGTTGAAATTATTTGCAGCTGAAGGTCAACTTAATGCAGACTGAATAAGTGGCGGGGGAATCGAGGAAAAATTTGTTGGAGTGGAGTGGATGGTTCTTGAGGGTGTGGCTGTGTGGCTGCTCAGGCGCCATTAAAGACAACTTCCGCAAACAATAAATTTTGCTTACCAAAGAAGCTGCGGCCTGATGCCGAAACGGAACGCAAAGTGGTCTGTGGGGTTGGTAAGAGTATAAGCGCTATTTTTTATACCGCAATATAAATATTTAGCAGCTCTTTTCTTTTTTTCTTGATTTTTTTTGCCACTCAGCGAACTGGTGTCGATTAAACTGTTCTACAATTTGGTGCTTTTGTTGAAACTTCACGGTTTTCGGTTTTAGTTTTTGGGGGCCAAACGTGTACGGCTGCATTAATTTGTGTGGATTATTTATGGTGGTCGCTCTGCCGTTTCTGCTGCTGGCACCAAATGAGGACACAAAGGAAGTGAAGCTGGCAAAACTCTAGTCCGCGCGCCAATCCGGATGAGCTGCAAGTTTTCCGAAAGTTTGCAGCCTCACAAGTGCCAACTGTAATTTATGGCTCTGTTTAGAAAGTTGGCAGAGCTTTGCCAATGTTTCAGGTCGTATACATTTAATTTCCCTGACTGTACAAAATCAATTAACAAGAATTGAAGCCACACGCTCGACATCGAGTTGATATCAGTTTGGTTGTGACCTCAGATCGAAGATGTTGTTAGTTCTTGTGGTGTTTCAAGTTATAAGTTTTACTTCTTGTCGCGAACAGGGCGAGATACCAAAGACCAAAGAACCTTTAGTACATTGTGAGGAGTTGTTTAGAAAAGGCAATTCAAATCTTGATGTAACTTTCCAGTGCCTTATGGTACACTACAATTTATATGCAACCCTTGAGAATGTCATAAACAAAATAAATCAAGTTCAGCAGAAGATGGATAAAACTATCTCGGATGACCAGAAATATAAGCCATCGCCTTTTAAAAACATAGATGATATTTTGAATCTGTGCAGTGATATTTCAAATAAGGACTGCCAAGCGAAACGACAAATTATCCAAGCCATCCGACGAAAACTTGAATGGCATAATGTATTTAACGATCGGGATACTACTCTCTTTGCTTGGCCCTGGAAGTCGGAACCTATTAAGCCTAGAATTGACGATTATATCGAGGCTGACGCCATTTCAGAAATTCAACTGGGAACCGATCCCTCGCCGATTTTGGATGAGATCCGCTGTCTGCTGGGAAAAGCTATTCGAAACACAGGTAATAAATTAAGCTTTTAGCCTTTGTTGGCTCAATTGATTGCGACAATTAAAAAGGCACAAAAGCGGTGACAGGTGCGAAATGTGGCCTAAGGGGCAAGGCTTTTGCATTTAAATTGTAAATAAATATGTAAGCATCTCGCCGCACAATGGCACGCAATCAACAAGCCTGAAGCGAAGCTCTATCACAGAGGTGACTGCTGATGCACCGACAAAAAAACACCATCTAAAAGTACGACTTATTATTGCTTGGATTTCCCTTTTATAAAGAGTGATTTTTAAAACCTCCTGGTAAATGCTACCTGACACAGATCATAACGTTTACTAAGTTTTTACATAAATGTAAATGCTTTTTATTACATATTTTTCTTTACAGAATGGTTGACGAATCTTAATGAAACAAACTGACTATGGACGTTTAAAATGCTTTTAGACAATTAAATGTCTTCAAAATTCATATATTTTTGAATAAATTATTAAATGACTTAAATTATAAATTAAAATATAGTTTAAAACTACTGGTACTATAAAATTATATGGTTTTACATAAGAAATGTATCTAATCACATAAAATGTCTAAAAGAAAGAATTAAAATATATACTTTAGTTACACAAAAAACAAACCAGTTATTTTAAAATAATATTTAACATATTTCTAAAGGTTTTTAAAATCTTTAAAATCTTGTTTTAAATTGTCAATCGATAATTTTTGTAGTGCTTCAGAGAACCTGCTGTGCTGGCATAAAAACTTGTGGTCACATGTATGTGGAGCCCCCTTTTCCCTTTCGTCCAGCAGTTTGGCCTCGTTTTTAAATTGAAATCTCAGCAGCCAGCGCTGGACTTTCCCCGCGGACGGAAAAAGGGAGAGTTGTCTCTGCATTTCTACCGTCCTTGGTGTGCTTTAAATAATTGCTTAGAAGCCGAGCACACACTCGTTACAATAATAACCGCCCAAGCACTCCGACTATGATAATAATAGCAAATAGGACCTGCCGCAGATGGACAGCCCACGTTTTCCCCCAGAAGCCTTTGGCTTATGACCCCTACTGCAAATGCAGTTCACTTACTATATATATATATATATACGGAAAACATTGAATGGACAGTGGGCGTGTGTGTGTTTATCCTCGCTTTTAATGTGCCATATAAAATAATTTAATGACCAGCCAGAGACGACGACGTCTCTTGGTAATGAGCAAAACGATTGGGGCCACTAAAGCGGAAGACTCTTAATGATAATAGTGGCATATTATGGTGCAGATAGCCGTGACAAATGCCCTGGCCGCACTTTAATAGTTCATCGGATTCCTGTTAAATCAACATAAGCACAAACAATTATTATCAACATGAATTCAGAAATTCAAGTTCATGGATAAAATTTATGTTACTAATCACTGGGCTATCAAATCTACTCGTTTACTTGAGCAACTCTATATTTACTTTAAAGTAATATTCTTATTTGAATATATATTTAAAAAATTATAATACCTACAATTATTTACTTAAACCTTTATATTTATGCAGGAAGTTTCTTTTCCCCCCTTTTTCCTTATTTTCTGTATTTGCTATTTTAAGAACTTTTCTCCTTAATCTGCAAAAATGCTCCATGGGTTCTTAAACTCAACCCTTATTAGGTTATTCTTGGCCCACCATAAGCCATTCATGGCTCCATTTCCATTTTAAAGGGGTCTGAAAAACGGAATTAATTTAAAGTATTTTTATTTTCCTTGGATTTCCCTAGGTTTACGCTTTGTTTGGTCGCCTTTTTGGTCTGTCTCTTATTTTCTGACTTTTCCTCCATTCATTTTACAGTCTTGGTCATTTTCTGCAAAATAGTTGCGCTTTATTTCCAGCCAACGCTGTCGCACAAGTGACAGCTGTCCTCACCTCCGCTTCCGCTAAAATGTCAATAAAAATTCAATTACGTTTTCCGCCGAAGAAAAGTTTTTGTTGAAAATAGTTTCTTTATGGCCTTCTGTTTTCCATTTAAAATTGCCGCTCTTTGTCAAATGGAATTTGTTTGCCATCCTGATCGATTTGTGATGCTGGAGGAGAGAAATCAGAGACACAGCCACTTATACTTAATGGCCTTATTATGTAACCAAACGCCCACACATAAATAGGCTGAGTAAATAATCATAATCGTCAGTGTTACGTGGAGGGAGAAACCATAAAGTTCTCTGGCTCCAATAAAAATAAATTGTGCGACTTGCTTGGGCAATTTGGCGGAAATGTTTTCCTGGCTTGCACACATATGTTTGTACTAGTATTTGTTTTTTTGTTAGTGGTTAAATAGTTGGCTAAGTTTATGCTGATAATACTGAAGGTCGTTTGTGCATTAAACCAAATTTAATGTTACCTTTTAGCAGGTGGTATCAAAGAGCTCAGCCACTTTTCCATTTCCCTCAATATTTCGCTCTCACGCACAAAACTGTTATACTGGCTGTAGTGTTATACGGCAAGGCTGCTGCATACTTACAGGCTCTTTTGCGCAAAATTTCAGTCTCCCTTTGCAAGTGTTCTCGTGTGGACGGAAAAACTTTTGCTCATCGCTTCTCGCCTCGCATTGGAAAGTCGCGTAAAATTCTCGTGGAAGAGGAAAACCTCAGAATTCCCCCAATCCTAGGGAATATCTAAAATTCCTTGGGCCAACCGTATCAATCATCGACTAAAGGCTTTGCTCCTCTTAGTGAATGTGTGATTTTTGTGTGTGAGCTGTGTTTAGTTGTGCAGGCTTTAATTAGCAGCTTTTCCTCTTTCTTCCGCTGGTCTTGTGTGCGTTAGATTAATGAGGCAAAAGTGTTTTATCGTGTCGTGCGTTAAATATTTAATACAATATTAAATAAATGTTACATAAGCCGCCTGTCATTTAGAATCTTGTGCCAACAAAAAATAAAGGGAGTGTGTGCTGCTTTTATCATAAGTAATTCGGACAGACAACAGCGGATTCTCTTTCCATAATTCGCAAACAAGCTGATCAAGTAAGTTGCGGGTATTAAATGTCAAAGAAATAAACATATCATCTTACTCATTTTTGCCTCTGTTAACATATTTTATTGGACCATACTTCCGCTAAGATATCGTAAGAATTTTTACGTTTCCCAAACGCATTTTAAACATTTTTATTGCCCATTTTTGCTTTACGTCCGGCATTAAAAAATCTCCCGCCAGGTAGATAATTTTAATTTGTTATTTGGGTAATTTCGTCGTTTGTTATTTGGTCGGATTCCGTTTGTTAATGGCCTGCCAGGGAATTTCGATTCGTCTTTACCCTTCATTTCTTACCAGCGTTTGAGATGGAAATAATGGTAGGAATGGCCACAAAATACTTTAACAGCTACAGGACTCCGGGGTCGGTTTTCATTTCAACTTGCTCACATTAGGGGATCACCCTCTGGCATCTCATCCCCCTTTATAACACCCGCATCCCCTGCATCTTTATGTAGATATCTCTTCTTATTGCCCGGCACAGAGTACGAAATTAATTCTAACCAGACGTTTTGCTGCTTGCCGCAAACTTACTTTTATGTTAGTTCATTTGCCACGCCCCTATCCCCCACGGAATGGATACACTCACACAATTACTTGGGTACACCCGTACATAAACACCGAGAAAAATATGTTTTTTCTATAAAAACATTATAAATGTATATTTTATAAATATTCATTTATGCATTGGGCCCTATTACTCCACTTTTCGAAGCACTGCAGCTATAAACTTGAAATTTAAAACTTGGAAAATTAAAAGGAGAAATTCGATATTACGGTCTTTTAATATTTCACAATCATTTCAATTTAAAAAAAAAAAACCTTTTAAAGACTTTAAATCTAAATTTTAAATTTTGAAGACAATTTTTCATAAGTGTAGGTACACAAACACGTGCACTTGTACATGGGGTGGAACGAGGCAGCATCGCAACTAAGTAAATAATGCGTAAAACAAGTCATGCGTTTTACTAACCCACCCATTTCACAACCCCTTTCTGCTTTAAACAGAAGACTTTCGCAGCGCAAATGGGGAGTTTCCCCATTTAGAAACTGTGGAAACAGTCAATTGTAAAATTGCTACAGCCAACAAAGCGTGGCGAGGAAGCTAAGCGAGTGCTCAGAGCAATTCCATAGGTAGTTGCCTGATGTTGATAATGGCAAGGATTGCAGGATTCCAGGAACCAGGATTCATTATTATGCTGACTGAGGCAATGGGGGCGAAAAGAAGCCAGAAAAAAGGAAAAATATTTGCGCACATGTGGCTAAAGTTTCCATCACTGCAGTCTGCGGCTGCTGTTATTCTTGTTAACGCTAAAATTGTCTGTCACTTTGAGACTTCCGTCATCAGCAGGATAAAAGTTGAGGGAAAAATATGAATGCGAAAAATGAGACTCCCAACATTTAAGTACTTTGCTAAATACTCAACTGTTTTTAGTTTATGGAAAAAGATAAAAATAAAAACGATGGCCTTACAAATTATTTAACTTAGAATTAAGAATTAACTCTAGAATATTCTAAAAAAAAAGAAAAAACAAGATAATCAAATCGCTTTATCTAAAATCATAACTAATATCTAAATCATGTTCTAAATGTTTATTTCTACATAATTAACAATTTATATTTCTTATACCTACTTTACAATTTGTCAAATTTTAAAATTGAGAAAACAAAATGTAGTATGCCAATTTTTATCAATGGATATGTCAAATTGTTTGCAAGAAAAAAGACAAGAAAACGGCAAAAAAGAGCAACAATTAAAAAGTCCACCTAAGGTCGATCCAAAACTGTCAAAAGAAAGAAGAAAAGCTGGAAATTGAACAACAAATGAGAACAATGAAGACATGGCACACAAAATAAAAGTTTTGTTTGCTTATTATTGTTTGACTTCTTTTCACATTGACCCACCAAAAAGTTTTTCATTTTTTCACAACGAGCCTCGAAAATTGTGGGTCATAAATCAAGGGTCGAAAACGTGACACCGTCACATATATGGACTAAGAAAAGAAAAACTTGCACAATAATTTGGTATAAAAAGCAATTACATTTAAAACTTTGAACCTTGACTTGCTTAGCCAACCAATGATAAACTTTATTGTCAACTATTTCTCAACAGCTCCATTTGTAGTTATTTACATGAGAATACACACATTTTTTTGGGTGGCGGATGGATGTTGGGTGGCATATGGTTTCTTATTTTCTGCATACTTCCGACAGCACATTTTTGCACAAAACTTGTACAATTTACTTCGGACAGTATGCAAAATGATATTTTTCATTCAACCAGCTCGTTTCCCCCCAAAAAGAACTTGTGCATAAGTTTTTCACAGAATTTCAATAAAATACGAAAGGAATTTATGTTCAAAATGTATTTCTGTGATTTTATGAGCAAGCAATTTGTGGGTATTTTAGTCACAATATATTTGTACAAAAATGTGGTTTGTATTTTTCGGAGATTGAATAATTTCAAATTGAATTTTTAT